ACCTAAGATTCGAAAAACAATTATTTCTGTCTACTAAATCATTGTGGATCTCTTATTGTTAACTATGCTCATAGCGGTCAGATATAACTCATATCCGTTTTTCGCTTTTTTATATTGGCCTTTAGGAAAGGATAATATTGGCTCATGAATATGTATATATAGCAATCTGGTGATATTTGAGCATACAGTCAAGGCGAGGGAGTGAGACCAGGTAAGTAACACCGCGCTCGTAAAATTATGCGTAAAGGAGTTTAAGGATATTAAGCAGAATACTTTTCTTCATAAATTTGTTTCCATTTTATAAATAACCAGTTCTAACCACTTCCTCCCCTCCTGATTCTCCGGACTGGTGCGATCGGTCCTTTCAGGAACGTTAGTGCTCTTGTTATTTTTGGATATATGGTTTTTTACTTCACCAAACTGCGCATGCGTCACGTGGTTCTTACCTCAACACTGCTTTAACAATAGAAGCATGCAGATTCACTACACTTATCAGCAGAAATGAAGATGAAATTTGTGATGCTAGCCCGTTCCTGACGATGAATTTAGAATACAAGATTAAGGATACCACGTGGCGATAACTAATTGCGTTAAAATCATCTATTTGACCAACTGATACAACAAACATCTATTGACACTTAACCACGTGATATTATATCACGCTTTGTAGCACCTAAAAAACTGACAAGCTTTTGACGTAAGTGTTTGCTCAAACAAAAATATACTGTTGTTATTATTCGGAAAAGTTATAATAATGATATTTATTCTCATAGCACGGTATACGAGGGATGCTAATTTATACGCATCATTACTCGGTTAAAAGCAATAAGACTACGTAGCACAACCGCAGTTAACAGGCAGACGTATGAATAAACCTTAGATGTTGAGAGGAGTAGCATATAAACACTGGATAAATACCGATCTCAGTAGTATTAAACAGCCTTCTTATGTGCAAATGGTCGTTTCTTTGTGCATATACTCAAATGTGTTCACACGAACCAAAGTTTATATATACAGGAGTGTTTTAAAACGTACTTTACATGCTGTCGAGAGTTATGGCTCTATACAAGAAATAAATATCTGTATTTAGAAGCTGTTTAATATGTTGTGTGATTTTTCATCAACAAGAAATGTAGGTGAACCACTATGACAATCAACATGTGGATGGACATCCAAATGTGTACAGCAGTGTGTTCACACAGGGAATCAGTTGGTTACATTTCGTGTGGAATTCGACTGCCATACAATGTTGAGATATTCCCCAAGGTATCGCCATATGTCGTCATGTAAAATATACATACATATAATCCAGATGCATTAATTAGTTGATTTCTACCACCATTGAGCGCTTACTAAATATTGGGAAGGTTAAAGAGTTTACATTGTGGACATTTACAGTCTCACGTCATCATGGATAAAACATCACGGTATTGCTTTCAGAAAAGTGGACTAGAGCCAAAGAGATATTAAGGGTATTCGGAAGTGCGTATCTGTTCACATGAGGTTGTGACAAGTCACATCCTCGTTTTCTTACATGCTGTTCGTATGTCGGTCTTACTTCACTTTTTGTGTCGGAGAGATATCACATTTACCTCTTTTGTGGGCTTTTATCCTGACTGCTGCTTCTTCCTTATCTGAAATCGCAAACGGTGACTGAAACAAGTGAGTCTATGACCTCTAAAGCTTTTGCATGCATAGGAATTCGAACTATTGTAGATTGTAAAATCATTTATCGAGTCATTGACTGCCCTCTACTTTAGTAGACCAGTTCGCTTACTTGCCGCATTTTCGGCAGCAATAATATATTCACATTCCTTTTTACATGAGGGACGACAATTTACAGGTATCGTCAGTATGTTGAATAGTATGTACATGGGGTAGGCATATTTATAGTTATTCAATAACACAAGGTGTATATAAGAAAAGCCAACGGAATAGTATCATTAAGGTCACTTTATGTAAGCAAAAGTAATTAACATGGTATACCCCTAGGTGCTGTTACTGTTTGAATTTAGCCGAAAAGGGCGCAATAATTGAAGGCTGCGTTACAAGCAGTAGATATTTCAGGTTACTCATAAAATGGCGAAATCGACTGTCGAGGAACTTATCCCTAAGTTCCTTTTGTTACGTAGACGCTTCATACTGATAAATACTATGTAATTTCTTCGATTTTAACTCCAAAGCACCAGTATTGTAAGAAGGAAGTTATATTGTTTGGCAGCTAAAGCGGAGAATAATATAAATTTTTTAAAAGTATAGCTGTGATTGTAAGAGGCGTTAGTTTGCTTTCTGGTGATGGTTCGTTCCATGTACAGCCATGTACGTCATTTGCCACTGTTTGGCACTGTTCAACAACCACTGTACTTTTAGTGTGCCTTAATTTATCTGCATTGTCATCTGAAAATCCAGTAATATTAAAATAATCAAACACTACGTGGCTTGGAGGCTGGTGGAAAACTGCCAAGCTTAGTCGCATCAGTTTTGGGTATCATTCCTCTAGCTCTAAAGCCTCACACCTCGTGAAGTATTTTGTGTCGTTCTCGGTTTCGACCATTCTCAGTGTGAAGTGGCACTGTGAGCTCTCAACTTTCGATTTATCCCCTTTATATTTATTGCCAAGTATGAATGGGCAGTAATCAAATGGTGGGCGTACACGAACCTGGCGCTGAAGAACTCTGGATTTTTTCCGTAGACGTTCCTAAGTGGAAAGCCAATATGTTTGCGTGATTTTAATGCTAACTTGGAGGTATTCTGTGAGAAAGATAGATCACATGGACATTGCATTCCTAGACCCAGAAAAGATTTCAGTCTGAAGGGTCTTCAACTGCTAGATCAAGTACGAGGTTGGAACAACCTGCTCACAGACAGCCAAGGTTTTCAGTATTAAAATGCAGTCACCAGGTGTCGCTTTATCTATCCACTTGTGCCAATTCTTCGTGCATAATTTATGTTCTCACCTAAATCTGTATTTCTGTATGTGCATATTACTCCTAAGTCGTCCGCACACGGAAGTGGTTCACCTAAACTTAAGTGTCTACGGATGCTGTTTATATATAATATTATTCCCCAAACTGTAAATTCATCATACATGAAATTATGTGTAATTTATATATTAACTTATCCATGCCCGTGCAATTGGTATGTTCCTGCATAGACAGGAAGAAATATATATTATTATTGTTTTGCACAGGAGAGGTTCCAGTTCACAACGTCAACAATTTGTGGCGTGGAATCAAGTACCCACCCATAAGTGATACAGGATGTCACTAGTTAACTGTCAAAAGTTATATGCACTACTTAAGAAATAATATTCGAATGATTATGAGGGCAATGCCATACAGTTCTTGCAACGGCAATTAACTTGTAAGTGCATCCGATGTGTGGAGTATTCAAAGTGTGTTGCAAATAGTAAATGTGGTAGGCCGTTTAACAACCATAAAATACCATAGCGATAAGTGTTCAACATCAGTAATATTAATGACAAGTATGCTAGTGGCCCCAAAGGACACACTTCCAATATCCGATATCATTTTTACGAGCTAGTATAAACCGGTTTGATTTCTTTGTTCTCGCCTCCTGTTTGTGTGATAAAGTTTCTCGGTCTTCAGTAAAATTCTGCGTAGTTCATCCCGCGACTCGACTGTCGTAGCTTTGGTTGGCTCCCAACTGAGTAGTGCTGGGATTAATTATATGTCGTTTGTAGTGTGGGGTGCGTTAAAAATTTGCTGCTACTGCGATTGGGGTTGATCCTTTCACCAGTTAGTCCTCCGGTATCGTGGTCGAAAGAAAAGAGTTAATAATAACAGATATAATCAGTGTAGGTTAATCAGACCAAACGACAGAAAAGATATAAAGAAATCGTAAAAATAGACAGCTAATTAAACTTCAAGTTGATATATATATATAATAATAATAGTATATTCTCATTTTGTACATGAGAGACGCCAGTTTACAGGCATCATCAATATGATAAATTACATATACGATTAGCAATCATAATTAATAATAATGTTTTAATAAAATACACATTTTTTCCTACTTGTGTAGGACACACCAAATATACAGGCATGGGTAAGCATTATTTAAATTTCATAAATTCGGTTTATGGTTAAGTTACATGGTTGCTGGCGTTTTTGTCTTAGGTCTGTGGGAACAATATGATAACCAGTCATTCAATGGAGCACGTCATGAAATATAGGAATATTAACTTCGCATTAACAAAAAAACCCAAGTAAGTTTTGGATGGATTAAAAATACTTGGGAAAAAATAAAGCTTGAAGTTATTCCACAATATAACAAGTCATTCAATGGAGCACATCATGAAATATAGGAATATTGTCTTCGCATTAACAAAAAACCCAAGTATGTTTTGGATGGATTAAAAATACTTGGGAAAAAATAAAGCTTGAAGTAATTCCTCAATATAACTTGGGTGTGTACAAATCCGAATCTTATTTTTGATTTGATTTATATCCAAATTGGGTAATAAGGAAGCTATTTTACAGATACGATCAGTTATGTTATAAGCTACAATCGTGACGTTGTATTACAAATAGATACTTTTCCATTGGTATAAGAGTATATTCCACAAATGTAATCCAGGTTGCGTCGTGGAGAAAGTTAATTCGTTATTAACCAGGCAACTGAAAGATACGGGACCAATAATGTTTGCAGATCATTTGTCATTGTAAATGGTCAAATATCCACATTATTCATTCTCATTCAAAAAGTCAAATAGAAGCTGAAATGGTGAGAGAAAAAAGAAGACAAACAACAGCAACGCAAAAGAAAGCAACGGGAGTCCTTAAGGAGTGATTAATAAATATATACATATATATTCTGTTTTGTAACTATGCTTATTTTTTGTTCATTAACTAACTAGTCCCGTTACGCTAACTTTTATATTATGTGTAAACTAATATTACTGTCCTGTGTAGAAATGTTTATCATCTAGTCCCAATAATATTAAAATTTATATTTGTAGTTTGTTGTAACTACACGTTTAAAGAACTTAAAATATCTATGTATGGTGAAAAAGAAGGTGTAAGAGTCAGGCGCAAAAGTGCATTGTCATCTTTGAGCAGTCTGATGACTGAGGAGATGAACACTGGAAGTGTGTTTGCATCGCGCACATTAGCTGGTAGTCTATTCCAAATGACTGAAAACTTATTTAAGAAGAAGTTGTACCGCACGTAAGTCTGACAGTGCTCCATAGCAGCTAGGTTGTGATGATTTCTAAGATTGTAACTGATGACAGCGGTAGGTTTAGTTATTGGCTCGGAGGAATGCAAGAGAAGATTAGTTAGCTTGTAGTAAAAGATAAGGTTTAGCTTAAGGCGTCTTTTCCAGAGGGGTTCTAATCTTAGTCTTTCGCATCGCTCATAGTATTCCAGACCACTTTCTAAACCAAGAGTTCTTGAGGTAAACTGGCGTTGCACTCCCTCTAATTTAAGCTTGTCATTTTGTCTGAGTCCGCTAAGAATAAACGGGCAGTATTCTAAGATAGGTCGGACACATACTTTGTATAATAAAACCCTAGTTTCACAACAAAAGAAATTGCGTGTTATGCATCCTATCAGCCTTCGCGTTTTACGTCTGGCATAATCAGTCTGTTCAGCGAACGTTAGGTTACTAGAGTATCTAATACCGAGATCTACGACTGAGTTGAGCTTAGCTAGTTTTCGCCCATATATTTCAAGAGTTAGATCAAGGTTACTGTTGCCGATACAAATCCAGCCGCATTTGTCAATGTTAAAGTTTAGACAGGATTCAGCACACCACGTTGCAAGGCTACTTAGTTCAAGATGTATTTTAGTAACCATATCGCTTAATTCATGAGTGTAGCAGGAGTAGACGACTTTGAGGTCGTCAGCATATAGGAATGGTTTACCTGAGGTGAAGCACTTGCAAATGCTGTTAATGTAGACTGTGAATAAAAGTGGACCTAGGACACTACCTTGCACAACCCCACTTGAGATCTGCCTAGGATGAGACAATACAGATCCAACTTTGGTTATTTGTACCCTGTTGCTAAGAAATGATTTTAACCAGTTCAGTAATGGGTTGCGGATTCCACAAGAGTACAGCTTCTCAAAGAGAATACTGTGAGATACCATGTCAAATGCCCTAGATATATCGAAGTAGAGAACAACGACTAGCTTACGTGCTTCGCGACTACTAGTGATGCAGTTGAAAAAGTCGAAGTGGCAAGTAACGCAGGATCTATTTTTGAGAAATCCGTGTTGAGACCTTGTAACAAGATCTTCCCTAATTAGGTAGTCTGACAGTTGATCTTTTACAACTTTCTCCATGATTCGTGAGATAACTGGGGTTATATTTATGGGTCTGTAATTGCGGACGTTTGCCCTATCACCAGATTTGTAATGTGGAATTATGAAGCTAGTTTTCCACTCACTAGGGTAAGTGCCAGTGTCCATAGATATTGAGAAGAATTTAAGAAGTAACAAGGGTATATCACACCCACTGTTTTTGAAAATTATCGAAGCTAGGCCATCCGGTCCCGTACTAGTGGAAGGTTTAAGGCTTTTAATTGCTTGTACTATTAGTTGATTAGTGAACACAATGCTTTCAAGGGAAGAGATAGTAAGGGGAGCGGTTTCACCAGGCATATGTTAGCTGATCAGTAGATATGGTGGGGGCCACTAAGGTGAATCGCCCCATTCTGCAGGAACAGCAATATACAAATTAAAGTCTCGAGATATTTCTGATTTTTATGAGGGCTTAGATCTTTATCTTGAAAAAGATAATAATGAACGCCTTGACAGATCATGCTTCTACCTTTAAATATATACCATTCGCTCAGCCTATTGTGAGACGAGACCACGCGGGATCTGCACAGATTTATGGGGCATCTTATAAACTAACTTGCTGTCCATTGTCTGATCTTTAAATACCACTTCACAATGTCTTATCTCATTCATTTTCCAATAACGTCTTTACTTGATCCTCATTGTATTCCATTAAACCTAACATTTTACAGCTCTTTATGAATGATTATATTCCTACTCTCTGAAGGGTACGGTTGTACATTAAATGCACAAAAAGGTATAAAACAAAAACAACTGGCACAACCGAGGATAAATGTATTAAAACCAAAAGTGGACATGATGATAGTAAGACCTACATGGGTAGCATTATACATTGCAAATGAGCATTGTCAGCCTAGGGATTTTCCCTTATAAATGCATTTATTAATGATACTTGCACTTACCTATTTCATTACAATTTAATGATTCACCTCAGCACTTTAATTTTTCTAAAACAGCTTTCAATCCCTTGTAAACGTTGTACTTACCTCAATATTGGTTGGTTATCGTATGCCTACAACCACGGGATGAAAACGAAACGAAGTCCATTTTCCCGCTCAACCTGGAGGACAATTGTACAATTTAATAAGTATACAGCCTAGTTCTGACAATGTGTATTTATATATATATCAAATATTTAACTGTTGAAACATTATTAACTTGTAGACAATCTACGATTTGATATTATATCATACTTGATCGTGCCTGTAAAAATGGCATGCATTTTCATGTAAATTTATATGTTTATATGAGAATATACATTATTATTATTATAAACTAAAGTTTGCAAACCAATCACTGAAGAGTTCACAGATAGTAGCAGGCTCATTGTAGATTACTTTGTCGTGAAGTAAGTAGGGGATTTCCCTCGCCGACTGCATTCGTTTTTTAAGAAGTTCCGTTAAGTTATAAACTTTGGAGGTACTTTCAAGTGCCGTTAACTCTTCGTTGAGGTCCTTTTGAGAGCGTAGGCGCTTGATAGATTCAAGAGACTCATGGACTGAGTAGAGTAGTGATATATCCTTTGTTAAATAGTACTGCTGCTTCAACCTCCTTAACTTATTACGGTGTGCCCTTGGAATATATTCAGTTCGGTGTCTACTTAATTTCACTAGTTTCTTTGGAGCAACTGTATCTAGACAAAGGGTAACATTCCTGTAAAACAGGGTTACTACAGCCTCCAGGGAGTCAGTGGTAAAATAGTCATCCCATTGACAGAGTCGAATAAGTTCTTGGACTAATCCCCAGTCTGTATATTTGTAACTACGACATATTGTGCTTCCTGAATCTTGTTTGTTTCCTGTATTTAGTGGTGAGAAAGGCAGAGAGCAGAGTACCATTCTATGGTCACTACTAGAAAATCGATTACCAACACACGTGGATACTGGGATTGTGTCATGACAAAAAACAAGGTCCAACATGTTGTCACCACGAGTAGGTGTCTGGACGTGTTGTTGCCATCCACAACAGTCTATAGTGGCAAGTAATTCGTCGAAGCGTTGGGGGCCGGAACTAGTTAGCCAATTAACTTCTGGAAGATTAAAGTCCCCTGCAATTATTTTGTAATTAGCACTAAACGAGGATGCATGTGCAAACGATTTAGCTAATAACGCATCAGTTTCTTTTGTTGAGCTTGGTGCTCGATAAACACAGCCTATGGGAAGTTTGTACTTATCTCCATGTAAGACAACCCAGAGTGAGTCAGGTACATTATTCATTGTTTCATCTTCCACCTTACTGACTACAAATGAGCTATGTATATATATGAGACATCCTCCACCACGCTTGCAATCTCTGTTTGCACGGTGTACAGTGTAATCATCGATACCTATATGCACATCAAGTACAGAGGATGAGCACCATGACTCAGTAATCAGAGCTACAGTAGGCTTGGCGACTAATAATAATATCCTTAGTTCAGATATCTTATTGATTAAGGAACGTGCATTAATTAGCAATATCGTGAATAAGTCACGGGATACTACAAACTGGCTTAAAATGTCACCATAACCTAAATCTATTTGTGCGTCAGCACCGCAAGAATTTATGAATGAAAAGGAGGTCGGACTGGGTGTCTGCACATCGGGGTTGGTGTGCAATGAGGTGGTCCTAGGTGCCATGGGTCGTACCAGTGATTCGGGACACCTGGAAAATTTACCATGTGTTCCTGGATATAAGGGTAGTACAGGTTGGGCCTAGGTTGACGGTTAAAAGGCATAGCATCAAAAGGTCTACCCATCCAACTGCTATTCGTCATACCGGTATACACCTTCGGGTTGTTTTTATAACTTAAAGGGAATTGTGAAGGAAGGTGCTTTGGCTGCAAGACTTTAGGAGTCTTGGAGCCTGACTTTCTATAAGGTGGAGCATGCGGAACACCTCCAGATATACTTATGTTTCGAGAGGAGTTTTTCGTAACAAGTGATGGTTTGTTGGCATTCTTACTCTCAGCAGGCTTATTGAATACAAAGTATTCTTCCCCATCATTAGTTTCAACCCTGCGAAATTTGTTCATCGTGGTGAGGTTACTACGTTTGGGGGGAGATTTCTTAGAACAACTTGCAGAAGTTCTAGTCATTTTAACATCTTTCGATGAGGCTTTGTTTACAGGGGTACTGGTATCTAAATCAGTTCCTAGTTCCATTGGCAGGTGTGGTTGTTGTGTAGTTTGCTGAATGCTAGTTTCAGCACTAGGTGTCTGTTGCTGTGCACGATCCTTATTTGGTAAATCAAAGCTAGAGGAGGTGACCAGGTTATTACTACGCATTATTCTACGCTGACACGGTGTTTTATCCTGAGCTACGGTTATAGACTTATAACTGCTATTCAGTCTTAAGTGATCCTGACATTTAGTAAACTTACTAGCATCAAGGGAATTACTGAATTTAAAAATGATTGGGCAATTAGCCTGGTTAGACTTTTTACGAAGTCGTTTGCATCCACATGGAACACTAGCCATGCCGCAACAAATCAGGATTTTGTGTCTTACAGTTTTCAGGGGCAGAGAATCTGGGACGTTGTAAACTATAGCTTGGTGAGAAGAGGTTATACGCTTCATCACCTCCGTAGCCAAGCAGTCAATCAGATTTTCAGCTTTATTTAGGTTGTCTGGAGATATTTTAGGATGCTGTTTTAACAGACGGGCTATTGGGTCTAAATTCAAAAGCTTATTTTGAGTTACATCCAGTAAAGACTTAACCTGGCCAATATCAGAACGGCTCTCCGTGGTATTTGAGATTGGCGGTGACATACTATCAAACTGATCTAATTTTTTCTGAATTTCACTTACTTGCCTCTGCATATCTTTCAAAAGGAGGTTTAGTTTACAGAACTCAGATTTCTCTAACAGAACATCTTTCACCTGTATCACAGGAGTGAGATCTGCACTCAAACCATTTTGAGAGCTAGTAGTTGATACTGTATTACCAGGCGGTAATGCAGTTATAACCGAATTTAAGCCGCTATCTAAAACAATTGTGTTTCTATGAACACGTTTTTTAGAGATTTGGACCATAATTTCAAGAATTATATGACAATAAGCAATAAATAAATTTCAGAGCAAACACGTGCAAAAATGTCACCAATTTCGAACGTACCGCCAACGCATATATATGTATATAATATCAATAATAATAATCATAATGAGTGCAAGTCTAGTAGTTGAAGTATCCAGGAGGGTAAGACGGGAGAGAATGTGAGTAAGTAAAACGAATTCAGATGTCTACCCATGAATGGTGTATGGGATTCTAATGGGATTGACCATTTGGACGTAGTCCCTGTATCGCTGCTTGATTGTGTAGCCTTCGCTTAAAGGTGTCCACAGATGATGTCATATCCACATCTGCCGGCAAGGAGTTCCAGGAACTGAAAGCCCGCAGTGAAAAGAAGTGGCAGCGCACCTGAGTCCTTGCCCTCTGAGCTGTCCATCCGGGGTTTCTACAAGGAAGAATCTATCCACCCAGTGGCAGAACACCTTAGTTTGGGCGATTCTGGCTATTTGTTATTTTGTAGGCAGTAATTAAATCCCCCCTAAGCCGACGATAGCTAAGTGTTGATAGGCCTAATTTCTTCAACCTTTCATCATATGGTTTGTTTTGGAGACCAACCACTCCTTTTGTCGCCCGTCTTTGCACTCTTTCCAGAAGGTTCGCATATCTTCTAACCAGTGTATCAGCAATGATACTGTGCACTTCAAGCTGTGATCTGACGTATGTTTTGTACAACCCTAGATAGAGCTCAGGAGTGAGTGCACCTAACTGTCTTTGCGTAAATGGTATGACCGCATATGCCCTCGCTACATCCCCTGTGTAATTTACGCTTGTGTCCATTTTTTCCGTTAGAACTAGACCTAAGTCGCGTTTCGACGTTGTGCAGGACAAGCTTTCATTGCACAGGGTGTAACTTGCATTCTGCAGTCTACAGGTGCGCAACTTCACTACTTTACACTTTTTCAAGTTGAAAGTCATGCCACTGGCCACCGCCCAGTCTTCCAGAAGGTTTAGGTCTTCCTGTAGCCTATCTGAGTCCTCCGGACACTTCATCGCCCTCCATATTTTTACGTCGTCAGCGTATAGGAGAGTCGGGCAGCTCAGACGGCGTGGTAGATCATTGATGAAAATCAAAAACATCAGTGGTCCTAGGATAGAACCCTGCGACACTCCTGATGACGATCTGTGCCAAGATGATCGGACTCGGTTAACCTTAGTGCGAAATTGCCTGTCGGCTAGGTAGTCCTTCAACCATGACAGAAGTGGCTCACCTATGCCTGCCTGGCTTATTTTATGTAGGAGAAGGTCATGGTG